ATTTAATTATATCCACAAATTATCTAGTTCAGAATTCTAAACTTTAAATTACCCTACATATTTATGGTGCTGGCCGTGTGAGGCTTGCTAGCCAGCATACAATTTTCCTACATAATGAATAATAAGTAGTACTTGGATTTAAAAACTTTTTTTTGGAAGTAGAAGTATCAACTCAAGCTTTTTACTCAAGTAAAAGCATAAAAGTACGGGTTTTAAAAACTACTTAAAGTATAAAAGTAAAAGTAATGAACACTTAAAAAAAAGCCATTAAGGATAAAAGCTAAGCTGTGCCACAGGGTTCTGTAGCGCAGTGGTTCCCAAAGTTGGGGTCGAGACCCACAGTGGGGTCCTGAAACATCAAGGTGGGTTCCTGAAAATATTTTTCTGAGTTAATTACACAAAAAATGACAACTAAGAACTTTTTTCCTTTGTTTTTACAAAATAATAGAATTAGTGTACTTCAAATTGACAAAAATAGCTTAATAAAAAATGTTACTAAGCTCTTGTTTATTTGACGAGAAAACAATGTTTATCCACCAACAACAGCTGGGGACACAGGCCTCTGCTTCTGGTATTTTGTGGGTCAAAATCTGAAAAGTTTGGGAACCATTGCTATAGCATATAGAGTATCCCCCCTCCATTTTTCTTCTAAGGTCAATAATGAGTATAATGTTAAACTTAAATGTTAATGTTGAAAAATGTGGAATTAACTGACTACTTGTTTCAGCCACAATCATCTTCATTCTAGGCTACATCTGCTACAGTCTGTCCTGCTGGAATGTGAGGTGATTTGTGTCATACAGGTGTGATGGAGTGAGTTCAATCCAATGGGTCAGAGTGGTTTATACAGTATTTACACTTCTCATCCAAACATAATCAAACTCACTCTATCCAAGTGCTCCGTGTATCTGGATAGATTTCTATTTATTTATTTTTTCCTGAACAATGAAAAGTTGGAATAAAAACAAGTCAAAGTTTCTGATGCATCTCAGTAATGCAGGTAAAAAATCAAAAAGAAATAAATTATATAGGTCTTCTGGACGGGTTCTTCTCTAATGAAACGTTTAGTCTCTCCTCCAAGAGACTTCTTCAGTCTGAGAGTTTCAGGCAAAATTCAGGCTTTTAAGCCCTGCCTCCATGTGACTGATACTCACATCACATGGCTATCGTTCACCCCAAAGATCCGGTGCCCCGGCACAAACAGAGCAATGTTCTATATGCTGTGAAG